TCATTTATTTCAGTGTCTATCAACATATCTTCGATTTACGGTTTTGCATAACTGGTAAGTAAAATAATTTTATTATTTATAACAAAATTCGGTCAGAAAATTACGAATGGAAATTTGAAGTTTTATTTAGACAAGAATCAATAAGACATTGTTCTCAACATCTAATCTTAGTAAAATTTATATATCACTTAAATATTTGATATCAAATCGGGCAAACTTTTAGCATAATAACTTTGAATTACGCAAATCGAATTTTAATTTATCATTAATTTCAAAACTTAGTCTAAATTGAGGAACTAGGTACTACTTGTATCATTTATTGATGGCACTAGCATGAACTTAAAATCGTAAAATAGATTTGTATTGTTTATTTCTATATTTATTAACAAACGTGGGCATTCGAGACGAGAATTGTGCTTGTTTACACTTTTTTTATTGCTGTGCGAATAGCAATGCCCGAAATTGCCGTGTGTTGTCGTTGCCATCCTCTCACGTCTCGCCCTACTGGTGTTCGAGTTTAGTAGAATAAGAATCTTCAATTCTGTCTATAACTTTTAGTTTTCGTGATATTCGCGAACAAAAGTACAAGGTAAAATATGAAAAAGCACCACTTTTACCATTTTTAATAACATTCGGAAATGGGAATTTCAATAGTCTCATTAAAAATAAATTATAACGTAAGAATTACTCAACTAAAATGCCGTTTAGCGCGTTTGAAACTTCATATACTATTTTTTTTAGCTTAGTATACAAAATTGCAATACCATATGTAAATGGGCACCGCTTTATTTTTAATCTTTAATTTTGACCTTAATTATTTACGTTTTAATCAAGAACGACCAAGCCACGCACGCACGGTACATTATGATAACTTTAGCGTACGCAAGATAAGAGCAGCCTTCAGCTCTGCGTCAAGAAGGATGACAAAATTGTGCACTTTTGTGTGATTGTATGTATTGATTCAATGAAATAATTCATTTTTGTTGATTATTGCTTCTCTGTGGAAGCTTGGGAAAACGTATTTCCAGCAGACATTTTGCAATTAATACAAATTGCAAAACACCACTTTAATAGGTAATGTAAATACGCGCAATATTTCATTAATTAATAATCTTAATTCCGGGACTTCTAGGTGTAACATTCACAGATGGCAGAAGCATAAACGTTCGCATTCGGCACGAGAATTTTGTTTTGTTTTGTATTTGTTTTTGAACACAATTTACTTTCTTATCGCTTCCGCCGCGTGGAATGCAACGCATGAGATTCTCGAGTGTCGTCGTTGCAAACCTCTTACACCGCATGCAGCATATTCACGTTTAGTTTAGATCGGGCCTATTGCAATTCGCGTACAAGGTCGCGCGCAATCGGCGCACCGGTTTTGCGCATCTCTTGCTTTCTTATCGTGAACTGTAGCGTCGCGTGAACTTGCTCGGCTTGCGCTCAGTGTCGTGTCGGTCTCTAGTTGATTCAGACGTGTCTCTCGCGACTCGTATCGTTTGTTCGGACTTGTGCTTTTTAACTTTGCATTATATTCGATTGCCAATAGACCATTTAGTTTTAACTTGTGACTACAGTATTGTTATTGGCTATTTGCATCTTTATTGTCCGTAAATGCCGGTTAAGTGTATATTGCAACTCACAAGACGGCGAGTTGCTAAGTACATCAGCCCCTGTCGGAGTGTTGGAACGCATAAAATACTGGTATGGTATATATTACTTGCTTGTTCTATACATTCGTGCTCGTTACACGTACGCCTTTAATTTCCCGCGAACGGCGTCACATATACGAGTATACATATACTTGAACGGCGTGACGAGTGATGCGGAATTAATGATATGCTGAATTAAATTCTCCATCGGGTGGTATTTAATTGTTGCAGGAATTCGACCTGCAACCCGCAAAAATTTGCATATAAGAGTAATTTTTCAACCCTTTTCGTATAATGTTTGGTTTTTTGGGTTTGCACGCGATCTAGGCGGCGTAGCAACTTCACCGTGGCGTCTAGATATGCGGAATTAAATTCTCTGTCGGGTGGTATTTAATTGTAGAATTAATTCGACTTGTAACCCACGAAAATTTGCATATAAGAATAATTTTTCAACCCTTTTCGTTTTATATTTCCATTTAAGCGGAATAAAAGTAAATGTAAACATTCAGGAAATCCGTATTATTTAAAATGGAAAAGTATCCTTGGTTCCGGCAGGTTTTAAATTGAGAATTAAAACTAATTTACGTTTGATCACATTTATTTTAGGCAAAGCTAAAACTCAGAGGGCGACGCAACAAAAATCAATGTAAGGGAAATAAACGGACACTAATGCCTATTCGATGTACGCCAATTTCAATGAAATATTTGTTTTGTTGGTTAGGCTCCAGCAGAAATTTTGCAATTAATACAAATAGCAAAACACCACATTAATAGTAAATGTAAAATCTCGCAATCTTTCATTAATTTTAATAATTTAAATTTCGAGACTCCTCTCTGTATCATTCAGAGATGGCACTAGGATGATCTAAAAATCATGAAATCATGAATTGTACTGTTTATTTCTATATTTATCGGCAAACGTGGGCATTTGGCACAAGCATTGTGTTTGTTTTGAACACTATTTACTTTCTTATCGCTTCCGTCGCGTGGAATGCAACGCATGCGATACCCGGCGTCGTCGTTGCAAACCTCTCACACCGCTTGCAGCATATTCACGTTTAGTTTAGATCGCGGGTACCGTGCCTATTGCAATTCGCGCACAAGGTCGCGCGCCATCGGCGCATCGGTTTTGCGCATCTCTTGATTTCTTATCGTGAACTATCGCGTCGTTGCTTGCTCGGCTACGGCGTGCGCTATCGATGGTTTGCAGGCAGTTTCGTACCGGTTGCTGGTTGATCCGGACGTGTTTTGCGCAACTCATATCAGTTGTTCGGACTTCTGTTTTCTAAATTTGTATTATATTCGATCATCAATCAACTATTTAATTGTAACTAGTGTAGTAATGTTATTTAATATTTGCGCGTTTATTGTACATTATTATACAAAAGTGGCAGATATTTGATCGCGTTTCGTGTGCATGTAGAATCATCATTATCCTTGTGTAAGGAACTTTTAATTCAACAACACATATTGTATTCTGAGATGTATGAATATATTAGTATTAAATCCTATGAAATGTTTCAACTTCGTTTCTTTTAATTACCGAACTAGCTGTGCCCTGGTGACTAATACGCTTGATTTGTAAGTTTATAATTTAATTATATTTTTAATTATAATTTACTGGACAAATATTTATTGTCTTATTACGTACCTCAAAACGACCGCCAGAGTTTGCTTTTTTCCGAATTATTCAAGACCTGCGGTGGAAAATAGGGTATATCTCGGGAAACCTTTGGTGTATTTGCACATTCTCTTCTGACTCTGAAAATGCGAGAGTCAATCTTAAAGATAAGCTATTGCCGCCGCCAGAAATCTTGCGGCTAGTAGGTGAAAATCGCTCATCAAATTTCACTGTTTTTTTACTTCTTTAAAGTTTGATCGCTGCGATCAGATCTTATTTATCTCTTTTAGTTTACTAGATATTCGCGTTTGAATAGAATGGGCAAAAATTGCAAAATGTCACTTTTTACCACTTTTAGTCGCGTTTTTCGACCTTTTACTGTAGGAAATATAATTATTTTATATATTTATCTGATAGAGAATTTTCCAATCTTTCATAATCAATAATTTGTTGGTAGCTATTTCTTTTAGTTTAAGAGATATTAATTTTTGAAAATCGTCGAAAAAAAGTAAGCACCTTAGCAATTTTTTCTTAAGACATAATTTTGTCTCTCAAATTTCCCTTTTAGCTATCACACCTATCTGATAGAAAATGATCCGTAGATTAAGACCTTGCTGCGATCAGATCTTATTTATCTCTTTAGTTTACAGAGATATTCGCGTTTGAATAAAATGGGCAAAAATTGCAAATGTCACTTTTTACCACTTTTTAGTCGTTTTCGACCTTTACCTTAGAAATATAATTATTTTATATTTTATCTGATAAAGTTTCCAATCTTTTTATAATCAATAATTTGTTAGTTTGCTATTTCTTAACTTTTTTAGTTTTAGAGATGTGAATTTTTTGAAAATCGTCGAAAAAAGTATTAAAGCACCTTGGCAATTTTTCTTAAGACTTAAATTTTGTCTCTCAAATTTCCCTTTTAACGCCTATCCTCTGATAGAAATGGTCTCCGTGAATTAAGACGCTGCGGAGTGGGTCCTTATTTATCTCTTTTTAGTTTACGAGATATTCGCGTTTGAATAAAATGGGCAAAAATTGCAAAGTATGCTTTTTTACCCAGTTTTGGTCGCGTTTTCGACCTTTTACTGTAGGAAATATAATTATTTTTATATTTTTATCTGATAAAGAATTTTCCAATCTTTCATTTATCAATGTTTGTTGGTAGCTATTTCTTGTACTTTAAGAGATGTTAATTTTGAAAATCGTCGAAAAAGTCAAAGCACTCAGCAATTTTCTTAAGACATAAAATTTTGTCTCTCAAATTTACCTTTTTTAACTATCATAATCTGAGTAGAAATAGTCCGTAGATTAAGACCTTACTTGATCAGATCTTATTTATCTCTTTTAGTTTACGAGATATTCGCGTTTAGATAAAATGGGCAAAAATTGCAAATGTCGCTTTTACCACTTTTGGTCGCGTTTTCGACATGCTTACTGTAGGAAATATAATTAAAGACATAAAATTTTGTCTCTCAAATTTTTCCTTTTAACTATCTATCTGATAGAAAATAGTCCGGAATTAAGACGCCGCGATCAGATCTTATTTATCTCTTTTAGTTTACGAGATATTCGCGTTTGAATAAAATGGGCAAAAATTGCAAAATGTCACTTTTACCACTTTTAGTCGCGTTTTCCACGACCTTTACTGTAGGAAATATAATTATTTTATATATTTATCGATAGAAATTTTTCCAATCTTTCATAATCAATAATTTGTTGGTAGCTATTTCTTTTAGTTTAAAAGAGATATTAATTTTTGAAATGATGTATGCAACCCAAATTTCACAAAAATCTCATTCAGAAAAAAGACTCCAGCGTGAAATGTTTGTTGTGTCCAAAAATAAAACGCGTGTAATAATATGTAAGTTATATTTGTAATGAATAACTTCGCAGTGATGTATTTTATTTCCTCAGGAGTGAATTTAAAATACGTCCGGAAATCAATATCGATGCGTTGGAGATTCTCCCAGAGAAGTTGTAACTTGTCGAATTTAAATCGATGATGCGCCAAGAAGAATTCCATGTATATTATGTTAATGATTACATGTTGAACCATACGTGTTGAGGCGTTAAAAGTAATCACAGCTGGAAGATGCGAGACCAATGGCCAGAGTGTGTAGAAATGGTTAAAGACAAAAATGACATAAAACAATGGGTACGTATGTGCATTTCTGGGAATTTATTGTTATTTCGGTTGAATTTGGGGTAAGGCCGATTGCGTATAATTTGATACAAGAGATATTTAGATTGATCAGGTAAAGCAGACATGTTTCTACAACTGATGGAATTATATAATGCTGGTGGTGAATTATGATCCTTCACAGCTAATATTTGATTGGTGTTAATTAATTGAATGGGTTTTATTGTTTTGTTTCTAAATTGCCCTGCATTATTCAGTTAAGGTCAGATGATTGTTGATAATAGGTATTTATGGATTAACAGAGTATGTGTTGTCAGTAGAAGATACAATTTAAGACATTACTCAACCAATTTTCGATGCTGTTGATTATTTCTGCGGGTAATCCCAAGTTGGATAAATCGATTAGGCACGTGGGTGGAAATAGGGCAGTGGGTAGTTCTACTGGAGATGCTAGTACCTATAAAGTTAATTTATTAAGAAGTAGTTTTTATGGATATTTATGTTTAAAATAAACTTACTGTTGCCATGAGGCAAATAGTACTGGCAATGACGTACTTCATTATCATATTGGCGGCCATTTTGTTTTATTTGTAATTTTTTAAGTATTATTAAGTAAGAAGTGATTGAATATTGTTGGGGGACTGTAGATACTGATTGAAAGTCGGAAGTATTTAAACGAAAACTTTAAATTGTGAAATAATTTTATTCTGTGATAAATATTTCTTAATTTTTGATGAAATTTATGGAAGTTTTTTATGGGTTATGAAAGATATTGCAATATATATTCGCAATACACGTAACGCGTATACCTATAAGTAGCAAGAAATCTTCGTTTATGTTCTCTTTTTGAATATTTGTTGTACGCGACGCGTCTCGTTAGAAAATGAAGCCCAAAAGAAAGAGCAAGAGAAGAAAAGAAAGGAGGAAGGAACCTAGGCTGCAACTGGACTGCGCGCTGCCTTTTTATACCTGCGGACAACCCGCAAAATGTGGTGGGGGTAAGTCCACGCACGTGGGTAATAACGTGGGTGGTGCGCGTACAGGCGGTAACTGTAGCCGCGTTTGATCAGAAATTACAAGGGTTCCTCAATAAAAGGTCGATTTAACTTTTCATTAAACAATATATAACGTAATATAACGCAATAAATTTAACAATTCAACATCGATTTCCAGAGTTGTCATCTAGATCAGGTATTGTTTTAGTTTCAATTAGTTTTTTATAGTATATAGCTGAATCTTTTTCGTAACGTGGTCTTGCAGAATTATTAAAATCAACCGAATATAAACCAAATTTACTCCTAGAAAAGATAAAAATAAGGTTAGGTTACCATAACTGTTACAACATACAAACATACAAATATCCATTTGTCCATTCAAAATTATCCATGAAACTCCACGCTGTATAACCTATAATCTTTACATTATCTTCATTCATACTCAAAACCATTTGTTTCAAATGATCCTAAAAATATTTCTTCATTAATATCAATACTTAAATATTAACTAATAAAAAAAATACATTAAAATAATTTATTCTATCTCGATCATCAAATTCTCCTTTATCCCCATACCCATTTTCTGTAACCATTATAGTTGGATTTCTATATTCATCTCTAATAAACCTCAAAGATTTTCGTATAGCTTCAGGCACAACCTACAAAATAGAAAATGTAGATTATGCTAGCACAATTTTCTCTAAAATATCACATAAATCAGTGGTTGAGTTGGTGATTGCTTCCATTTTGGGTCCACTGTAACAAAAACTTGTGCATCACTCTGTAAACTATCTTCATTCAAAGTATCATTGAAAAATACAAGTCTACTGGGTAATAATTTGTAGTAATCATTGGTCCCTCTAGATCAAATTAACCTCTTTCTCGGTGTTTGTTGTTAACTTAGAAGTATGGTTAACCCTTGAGCTGACTTGCATTAGCCACATATTCCTTCATAACACTGGGGGAAGTCTCTCCAGTATAAATAGGATGTCCCCATTTTCCTATCTGTAAAAGTTTTGAGGTTAAAAATAAATTTTTAAGGTTATTATAGGGTTTATTAGAATATTTTAAGTTATTTTAGGTTATTTTTAGGTTATATTACTTTATATTATTTAAAATTAGATTATTTATTTTAGGTTATATTTGGTTATTTTAGTTTATTTTAGAATATTTTTAGTTAATTTAGGATAAACTCACCATAAACTGTCTATATCTCTCAGCTGCTTTCAAATCATCATCACAATCCTCTGGCTTGTCATTTATATCAATAACCAACCTTCCACATTCCCATAATACTTCCACTTGTATTTCTTCACAATTATAACCTATAAACACTCGCGTGTGCAAGCAATAAATTCCTCGTACACATATAAATCAATCCATGATTCCCAACATACTCCGTTTGCAATACACTCGCCATCAAACATCAATTTCACAACAAGGTGAAATTGTACGTGGCTTAATGTTTTCACTTTGTAATGTCTTAGAGTTTAAACACAACATCCGCATAATTTTCAAATCCCTCACGTTTCTCTCATTCTGAAATCCGCCATACTGAGCCATTGGAAGAGGCATATCAAATGATACAGTGTCACCACGCATTATTATATTATTAGCTATCAATTCATCGATTAATTGCCCATAATACTCAACTTAGCATAAGTTAGCTGAAAAATTCACATGCGGAGCTTCTGTACCATTGGGTAATAATCAGGACCATGAAATAGAAAACCTGTGAAATATTCACTCGAGTGTTTTAAAGAAGAAAACATCATCCTTGAATTTGTGGTATGAATCACACATGATATCATACAACCACTATTGTCCATAATGAGGTTAGTTTTGTGTAGGTTATGTAGTCCCAGATGTTTTCACCTTTTACCATCTTCATTCAACCTCCTTCGCTTGATACATAAGAAGTGTAACCTGCAAATAAAAAGTTTCATCAAAATCAGCATTTTACTTGATTAAATGAGAGAAAAACTAAAAATTTAAAAATTTTGAGGTTATTTTAAAATTTTGAGAGTTTTCGATGATTCTAACCTGAATACATAAGTATCCAACAATAACCCCAGTTGTATGAAGGTTTTCATTGTCACTGATACCAGAAACAGCAAAAATCACGCCTGAACTGCATTAAAACAGGTATCTTTGTTGTTCAATTGATAATGTGGTGTTTAAAATTATAAATAAATTAAACAAATTATCATCCATGTCAATATACCCAACGTTGATTATATCATTATTTATTGGTGTGCGCAGGCGTGACTTATATAAATAACATGATATTAATAATGGAATTGTGACAAAGACCAGGTATCACTGAATAAATGTTTATTTAATTTCAGCATTTTTTCACCTTTTTTTTCTTCTTTGTGCTTAATTAAAATAATTAATTATAATAATTTATGTTTTCAAAACAATAACATTATCCTGCACTTAATTATACTTAATCTGACGCCATTAATATATGTTGTTTGTGGCTTGTATTCGTCTATTTTACACAAAATAATGAGTTCAACGACAAATTTTGACATGTTTGAAGAAAATAGCTGAGTTTATGTTGATTTATCATGGTACAATTCAAAAACGAAATTTGAAACAAATTCTGTTAAATTTGTGTTTTTGGTTTGTGTTTATTTTATGTGGCTATCAGAGGGCAGATATCTAAGGTTATGTATGAAGAATCAACAACTGCGTTTCTTTTATTTTCAGAATTCGTTGTTATTTTTATATTAACCGATCAAATAATGATGAATAGTGCTAAAAACACACAAAATATTAATAAATTGTTCTTCTATGTTGATAAATTAGATGAAAGTGAAAAAGAAACAAAAGAGAAATTTAATTATGTGAAATATTTTTGTATTTTTTGGAATGTTGGATTCCTAGGAGGAGCATTCTTCATGTGCAGCATGTTGATAATCGAACTACGAATATCTTTCGCTTTACAGAAGTTGTTTGAAATGTTTTCTTTTTATTATATGCAAGCTGGTATCGTTTGGAAGACGATTCTTTGTTATAAAATGAAGACGAAACTTGAGAATGTTAACAAAATGTTACAGAATGTAGATGTGTCACGTGGCATTCCCCATGATGTACATAACCTCCTAGATGAATCTAATAATACAAATATAATATGATTGTCAAACTGGGTGGATGTTTTCAGTCGAGTTGTTCGGTAGATAAATTCTGCTTGGCTAAGATTAATGAATCGTTTCCAAAGCTCTTGGTTACTTTGGATATGTATTTTAGTGATTTCTTTAAGAGAACTATGCAGTCAAATCTAGGAGGGCCTTTTCTGGTTTCAATGATTTGCTTATACATGGTGTATAGATTCTGTATACTAGGTTATGTATGTGTGGTTATGTTTCTATGTTTCCGGTTTTGTTTTTTTGGCTGGTGGCGGCGCAAAAGTTTTATAGCCGCGTGCTCTGTGAGTGTTTTTAATGTGGTTGGAAATGAAATAAAAAGCATTGTGGAGTAATTTTAACGTTGATATGTGATGAGAGGGATTTGGATTGATGTAAAATCGGAAGTTATTGGTTTGTAAACAAGCGAGGGATAGATGTCCGCAGTTTTCAGCGATGGGTTTCTTCGTGGTTAATCACGCGTTTATTTATACGCTGATTTAATAAGGGATTGTGTCGTATGCTATTGTTATTATACAAAATGCACCACACAACTCAGTGCTAATTAAAATTGGTTAAAAGAATCCCTTCTAATGGCAAAACGCGAAAAGTCCCATGCCTTGGTTGGCACTTTCTTACGCAAAAAACTACTTAACTGATCATCATGAAAAATTTGTACACATATTCTTAGTGGTCCCTTGAATGGTTATAGGCTACTTTTATTTAATAAAAATATTATTTTTTGAAATAAAATAACGAAATTGTTTAGCTAATAATACTCTGCATCTGGCTATTTGACTAATTTAACGCCATCTAGCATTCCAGCAATGAAGCTCAAACCTAAGTAATTATAGTGTACCATCACACTGTATTATCACACTGCATTACCGATAGCCATGTCGTAACATCAACAAACTAAATTGACTATACCTTATGGAGACTGTACACTATACTTCCATATAGACTATACTTTCAGCCATTTTAAACTTCCCGCCATTCTACTCTATTGCTACTTTCCTGTGACTAGCAGACGCGTACGGAAGCAACTTCCCATTATTTTAGATATTCGCGAGTTGGGGCCAAGTAAGTTAAGCTAGTGTGAAATAAAATACAAATAAATGTTTCTTTTATAAAATATATTTATTAAAATAATTTGTGATTTTTCTTGATTTCCGGCAAATCTTTTGTTTGAGAGTTTTATACGTTTCGCCCTGTGGGTAATTACCAAGCCTTGATTTTAATACCAGCGGATTTTCATGTATTCAACTTAGAAAAAATAATAAAAATGTCGGTGGCTGTTTTATTCTTATGATACATTTATTGATACGGCTGGTGAGGAGAGTGTGAATGGTGATAAAACTAAAACAAACATCTTATATTGAGCCCGCTACGCTGTGTAAACGCAACATAAATAAAGATAACCTATTAACGTGACTACAGAGGGCGCTAGCATGTCTTACATTGGCATTAAATGGTGCTTCGTTCAGTTACGTATTGCTCGATCAGATCTTATTTATCTCTTTTTAGTTTACGAGATATTCGCGTTTGAATAAATGGGCAAAATTACAAAATGTCACTTTTTTACCATGATCGCGTTTTTCGACCTTTTACCTTAGGAAATATAAATTATTTTATATATTTATCTGATAGAGAGGTACACCAATCTTTCATAATCAATAATTCGTTGGCAGCTATCTTTTAGTTTAAAAGATGTGAATTTTGAAAATCGTCGAAAAAAAGTATCAAACACCCCCCCCTTAGCTAATTTTTTCTTAAGACATAAATTTTGTCTCTCAAATTTCCCTTTTAACTATCCTATCGATAGAAAATAGTCCGTAGATTGAGCCTTTCGCGATCAGATCTTATTTATCTCTTTTAGTTTACGAGATATTCGCGTTTGAATAAAATGGTAAAAATTGCAAAATGTCACTTTTACCACTTTTAGTCGCGTTTTTCGACCTTTTACTGTAGGAAATATAATTATTTTATATTTTATCTGATAAAAAGAGTTTTAATCTTTTATAATCAACCATTTTGATTGCTATTTCTTTTAGTTTAAAGAGATATTAATTTTGAAAATCGTCAGAAAAAAAGTATTAAGCACCCCCTTGGCAATTTTTCTTAAGACTTAAAATTTTGTCTCTCAAATTTACCACTTTTAACTATCCTATCTGATAGAAAATAGTCCGTAGATTAAAGACGCTGCGATCAGATCTTATTTATCTCTTTTTAGTTTACGAGATATTCGCGTTTTAGATAAAATGGGCAAAAATTGCAAAATGTCACTTTTTTACCAGTTTTAGTCGCGTTTTCGACAACTTTTACTGTAGGAAATATAATTATTTTATATTTTTATCTGATAAAAGATTTTCCAATCTTTCATTATCAATAATTTGTTGGTAGCTATTTCTTGTACTTTAGAGATGTTAATTTTTGAAAATCGTCGAAAAAAGTATCAAGCACCCCCCTTAGCGAATTTTTCTTAAGACATAAAATTTTGTCTCTCAAATTTTCCTTTTAACTATCCTATCTGATAGAAAATAGTCCGTAGATTAAGACGCCGCGATCAGATCTTATTTATCTCTTTTAGTTTACGAGATATTCGCGTTTGAATAAAATAGGCAAAAATTACCAAAATGTCACTTTTTACCACTTTTTAGTCGCGTTTTCAATGACTGTAGGAAATATAATTATTTTATATATTTATCTGATAGAGAATTTTCCAATCTTTCATCAATAATTTGTTGGTAGCCTATTTCTTTTTTAGTTTAAGAGATAATGAATTTTTTGAAAATCGTCCGAAAAAGTATTAAAGCACCCCCTTAGCAATTTTTTCTTAAGACTTAAATTTTGTCTCTCAAATTTCCCTTTAACTATCCTATCTGATAGAAAATAGTCCGTAGATTAAAGACGCGCCGCGATCAGATCTTATTTATCTCTTTTAGTTTACGAGATATTCGCGTTTTTGAATAAAATAGGCAAAATTGCAAAATGTCACTTTTACCACTTTTAGTCGCGTTTTTCGACCTTTTACTGTAGGAAATATAATTTATTTTATATATTTATCTGATAGAAATTTTCCAATCTTTTCATATCAATAATTCGTTGGCAGCTATCTCTTTTTAGTTTAAAAGATATGAATTTTTGAAAATCGTCGAAAAAAGTATCAAAGCACCCCCCTTGAATTTTTCTTAGACGCAAATTTTGTCTCTCAAATTTCCCTTTTAACTATCCTATCTGATAAATAGTCCGTAGATTAAGACGCTGCGGTCAGATCTTATTTATCTCT